GTTCCACCCAGCTCTCAGGTATTTCAGCTCTCAGTGGGGGAACCTTGCTGCTAATGCAGGCTGGGCTGTCTCTTCCGCAGAAACACTGTCCCACAGCAGGTCCAAGCACTTAAACCTGATTATCAGTGATTTCAGCTCTAGAGGTCACTTAACAAACCAAAAGACTCTCTATGGAGCCTAATCAGCTCTATCTCTGAACAGGAGAGAGGCGCAGGTCAAATAGTGCCTGTGACTCTTAGGCAGAGCCCACTCCACCAAGCAAAACACCTGTGCCCCACCCTCTTTCTCTCTGTCTCTCTCCACTAGGATATGGCATCCAAACCTCCTGCTTAAGGAGTGCAGTTCAGCTGAGGGCGACCAGTGCTTACTTTGTAATGAAAGAGGTGCTGGGGCTCAAGCAAGTTTGTTATTTTCATAACTGATGTGGCAAGCCCAGAGGTCCCAGGGCTATGAACTGTCAAGCCTAGAGCTGCCGGGGCTCAGCCCTGGCAAGCCCTAGTACAAATTAAGCACTGAGGGAGACCCCCTCATTCAGTCAGGCTAAGTACAGTTCTGTTGCCCTTTACTCTTACAATAAGGATAACAACATTTCATGACCCCCACATTTAATACTCAAGTGATTTGTAATCCAACACCAGCCAAAATTGATCACTTGGGTATCACAGCTCTCTCTGTTGGATACCTAGGCAGAGTAGATGTGTTCATGTAAATACGATCTGGTCCTGAAGCCTTTTCACTCACCCTTGGCTCATCACTAGCTGTAAGGGAAGAGATCATTCAGACCTTGCTTACAAATAATAATTAGAATTTATTAGGTAGGCCAATATAGTCGAAACAAATGTGCCAACGTTGTCATAAATAACAGCTGTATGAGGAAATTGGTCTTTGTTCATAATTTTCAAACCCATTATGCTTTCTTAGGTTAAAATATTTTCTCATACACTGTATATGCTTTTAAAGTGTGTATTAATTTTCAATTTCCATTCAAATTTCCAACCGACTAAATGGGCAACACTGCATGTAATGCGGGGAGGGAAATTTGGGTGGGTGGGGTGGTGTAGGGAAATCCCTGCTGGGAAGAGGGGTGGAGGGGAGTCTGAGTCTTTAAGCCTCCAAATGTCCTTGCATATCTAGAAAACTCACTGCTGATCTTTGAATGTCCATAGAAGGCAAGAAACCTTGGAAAATAATGTGGACAAGTTTACTATTATCTTTGGTGGGGGAGATCTCTGGAAGTAGAGGAGGACTGGTGATATAGTAATAACTGGGTTAAGTTCTATTACCTGAGTTATGCAGGAGGTCAGACAGAATTGTCATAATGGTCCCTTGTGCATGAGCAGCGCGTGAACCGCCAGCTGGGGAAGGCTAGCCTCCAGCCCCACCCCTCCTGCTGGAGCTGAGCCCCCCTTTCCCTCCTGCTGGAGCCCAGAGCTGCCTCTCCCCCACACCGTGGCCACTGGCCCAGTCCTGCAGCTAGCCACCCAGCCCCAAAGGAGCGCCTGACAGCCACGGCCTCCCCAGTCCCGGAACGCCAGGAAGGCAGGCGACGGCGCAGCCCCAGCCTTCCCAGCCCAAGGAAGGCGGGTGACCGTTGGCCGCATCCTCCCCAGCTTCTGAACAGGGGAAGGCACATGGTCCCAGCCCCAGTGGAGCACTGGGAAACTGGAGCCGCACACTGCCGCAGGGAGTGGTCACAGCAGCGGACAGGGTCACGCCTGGCTGTTTAGGGAGGCAAAGCCTCCCCCAGCCTATGCAACCTGCTGCCCATGTCCTTATGGCTTTCAGATTGGTGGGTGAGATTCTCCTGCCCATTGACGTAGTTATGGTACAATGTGTAAAAGGGCCAAATAAGCCTGTAAATGCACTGTATCCAGCTGGGGAGACTTCCTCAGTTCAGGCACTGCATGAAACAACTGTGATACTGCCTCCTCACCAGCCAGAGAGTGCTGGGAACAGGGCTTGAGTGCAGGGGGATGTTGGGGCCTTGGAGATGAGACAAAGCGGCAACAGGCCCAAAAGGCAGCCTGAGGATGCTGCTGTAATTTAGACAGGACCCTAGGGTTGTGTAAGTTACACTGGGGCTCTCCTGTCCCAGGAGCAGCCCAGGACTGGGAGGGTGGAAAGATGGCTTATGGACACCTTTTTGTTCCAGCCCTGCCCCTGGTCTTCAAGTTCTGTGCTGTGCCCCTTAGAATCTGTGACTTCAGGGGTGTAGGCAGAGGGGCTTCTTTGGAAGAGATGAGACATGGAAACCAGGCTGCTGCTCCTCCTGTGCTCTCCCGAGTAGTTGCTACTGGTATTCTCTCTCCTCCCCTCCCCCCTACCCCACTTGCCTTAGAGAAGGGAAGAATATGGGACCATGACTTTCATATTCATGTACTTAGTAACCCTTTTCTAAACAGCTTTCAGAGTAGCAGCCGTGTTAGTCTGTATTCGCAGAAAGAAAAGGAGTACTTGTGGCACCTTAGAGACGAACAAATTTATTTGAGCATAAGCTTTTATGAGCTACAGCTCACTTCATCGGATGCATTCAGTCTTTTCTAAACAGTATGCTGTATGTGGCCTATTTTCGCTAAATTTGCTTCTCTTTATTAAATGTTTAAATATGATGTATTATAGGCCTGCAAACACATGCTGCAGGTCTTAAACACGTACTTGCCTTAACCCCCTTCCTGTATGAAACTAATTAATACTTAGTTGTTACACAGAGTGTGCCTCAGTCAAACTTTGCCTCACCCACCTTGCCTGTCATTACAGTTGAGGTAGTTAGAAGTGGTGTTAGTAATTTCTTTTATTCGACCAACTTCTGTTGGTGAGAGACACAAGCTTTTGAGCTTACAGAGACCTGCAGTAGAGCGCTGTGTAAACTTGAAAGTCTGTCTCTCGATCCAATATATAACATATTACCTCACCCGCCTTGTCTCTCTAATATCCTGGGATCAACATGGATACAATAACACTGTCATGATTTCAAAGAGCATTCATCACTTCTTCAGCACAGACATACTCATAACACTTCATTGCAGTAAGATGGGTAGTTTGGCACCTTTAACTGTTTGCATGTGCAATTGAGGTAGAGTTGATTGAAAAATAAACAATTTTAGCAAAAACACTTGAAATCATCTTAAGTTCAAAGTGGACTGTTTTTAGATTTCTTGAAGAATTTTGTTTAATTTTTGTATGAAATGGTTACGGAAATATTTTGGAATATTGGAAAAAATAAGCAGCTATTTTAAAAAAAAAAATTGGTTAAATTTCAGTAGGTTTTTTTTGGGGGGGAGGAGGAGATAGTTTATTTGCAAAAAAATTTTTTTTTGTGAAGTCATAACTTTAATGAAAAGTTTTTTGCTTTTGAATAAATACCATTTTCAACATTTCAATCAAATATTTCATTTGAAAAATTTTGACTATATATATAGTTAGGTTAAATTGTGAGTGCAAATAGTTATGGGAGCAAAATTCTCTCCACTTATTTATGCTGGTAGGTCACATTCACAAATTGGAGGATAGTGGCTGAAGGGTTTCATGCGGTGGCAGAAGTTAAGAGCATAGTAGGAAAGGAGAGCAAATGCACATGGCAGGATGGTATTGTGCAGAATGTACAGGAAAAATAATTAGGTTTATTGAATTCAGTGGGCTATTGGAAGGATTTGTGGCCTGTTAATCTTTATAATACAGAATTAGAATTAGTTATTTCCATTTCTTTTTGATGTGCAGCAAAATCAGCTGCAGTAATGATTGTATAAAGCAGTATTCTGCAGACTACTTATTCACCTTCTAATTCACCCACCAGGAATGGATAAATTGCTTCTGGATCCCTTGGAATAAAGTGTAGCTCTGATAAACTGGCAAACATTTCTGTTGCTCTGGATTCATCTCAGTCTTTGTTCTGCCTTCTGCCCCCTTTTTGCGCTCTATTTTCTAGCGGAATGTGAACTACATTTCAGAGTAGCAGCTGTGTTAGTCTGTATTTGCAAAAAGAAAAGGAGTACTAGTGGCACCTTAGAGATAGCAAATTTCTCTACTGTTCAAAAAGTATTTCATAGAGCTCCTTGACTAGGCACTAAAAGAGGCTACAAGGAAGAGGAGGGTTCAGTGCCAGCTGTATTCAATTGACTGAAGACAGGAAAAACTTTTAGATTGTGTATTGCTGTTACATGAAAAAGGAAATCCCTGGGTATGTTTGAGACACCTTGGAGCCAGGTGCTGTATGAATTGCTCCTTTCAGCATTCCTTCAGAAGAAGAAAAGGGCCAGTCAGAAGAGATGTAATCCTCTTACTAGAGGGACATTTTTGGCATCTTCATTGGTACTACTACTTGGCATACAAAGAAATCAGACTGCAACCAGTTCGTCCTGAATTTCTGTACGCAAAAGTCACAGACGTTTACAGGCAAAATCTTGTTCCTGCTCTGTATAAATATGTAATGTAGAAACCTAAATAATTCACAGGCATAGATTTGGAAGATTCCTCTCCATGTACAAACAGCTCACACTTGTTTTCTCTGGAGATGCATAGGACAGATACTGGCTCTTTAGCAACTAAAGATGTTTTAAGTATAGGCATTTTGCATGAAGTAGGTTGTATTATTGATATCCTTTCATCTTTCCTTATTTATATATAAAAAGAATTGATTCTGCTCCTTTTACACACAGCTAGTCAGGTATTCTCATCCTCCATCCTACAATTCCCTCAGTTTGTTACACCCACTTGTTATGTCTTTTAAATATATATTGTAATCTCTGTGGGTCAGGGACTGTATTTTACTATGTTTGTTCATTGCTCTGCACAATGGGGCCCTATTTCTCATTGCTGTTTCTTGGCTCTACTACAATACTAATAAGCTGATGTTTTGGGCCATAAAGTTTTAAAACCAGAGTTAGAGCCTTGTGTTGGACAACTTTCTAGCTCTACATTACTGTCATTTTAAAATAATAAAGTTTTGAAAATGGAGAACAAGTGACAACTTTTTAACCTCTCCCTTTTTTCTTTTCTTACAGCCTATAGCTTCTTCTCTCTTCAGGTGAGTACTCTATTTTCCTTTATTTAATCTTGCAACACCTGGCTGAGAACACCACATGTAACATGCTGCTGGCATTAAAATTACTCATCTTGTGGATGAAATCAGTGTTTCCAGGGTATATTGCCACCATGTTGTATTTAATTTTATACTTTGCTATGTGGGTTACGCTCTTTGTTAAATTATATATTAGAGCCCACTATTGAATACTCACCAAATGCATTGTTCAGCACATATCTTCAGCATGTTCAACTTTCATTGGCTTGTAGTCACTTTAAAGAAGGTATTGTGTTATCTCAGTCACACACATGTGAAACCCATTAGGGAGCACACTCAGATAATTGCATTAATGGTAATTGCTTCTTAAAATTGATCTCCTGTTGGGAAAACTGCTGAATGAACTATTCTAGACCTTGATATCAGCAAAACAGTGCTGCCTTCATTGTAATTGTGTTCCTGTTGGGGGTCAGTTGATAATAAAGTGTTGTGCAAAAATGGTCTTATTCTTAGGGAAAAGGAGACCTTTAATCTTAACTGACTTGGTTTTTGATTGACAAGGTGGGTGTGGAAATATCTTTTATTGGATCAACTTCTGTGGTGAGAGAGACAAGCTTTCAAGCTTGTACAGATTTTCAGTTCATTCCTGACCTGTTCTCTGAAGGACTTGAAGGTGCAAAATTAAAGTGTGTGTGTGTGTGAGAGAGAGAGATTGCACAGTTCCCTTATTGGCCAGGTTATAGTACTTCCATAAAATTGAATCTGCAATCTCTCTCATCATGCTTCTATGTCTGCATTTTAATATTTTGTGTGGGCTCTTGCAAAAGGTGGTCTGAACACAATAGGCATCATTTTTCTCCAACCTACTCTTTTTTCTTACTAATTGTAAGTGGGGATGTTGCAAATGTTTGTTCTCTTCTCCCCTTGGATCGGGGACAGGGTGGAAGTGTAGCTTTTAACCAAGCTGGATAAAAATAGATGATTTAAGAAAAACTGTTTTTTTTTAATTGGATTATTTTATTTAAATTAAATACAGGTTTATTTTTTTAAAATTAAATTTGAAATTAACAACCTATGTTAAGGCCTGAACTTATAATCATTTATATTAAATACAAACAGTAATATTAAACAGTATGCGTTAGCTGCCAAGTTTTAAAGAAAGTCATACCACTGAACTGGACGAAGTCACTGGATAAGCACCTGGCACCAGAGTTTGCTGACATGCTAAATCAGCTTTTGACAGCAGTAGTCTCTTCTGTAGATACAGAGGGAACTTTTTCCTTATTTCAGTTTATTCAAAGAGTTTTGTTCAATGATCAGTTCATTCAAAGTTAAGAAACTAATTGGTAATTGAAAAGCAGGAAAGCTTGTTTTCCTCTTCCCATCTATGAATGAAAACTAGGCGTGAGAGGACTAGATCTACTAGTTCTAACATCTTGAAGGACATGGTGACCAGAAACAATCCATTCAATTCACTACTACAGTCAATACTTCCTTTGTTTAATTAATCAATTAGTTTTTAATGCAAAACATGTTTTGATAAACTTTTTTTATTATGTATCCAGCACATTTAAGGTAACGTTTTATGTAATTATAAATTTAAAATAAACCTTAAAATGCTATTTTGTGTACTGAATTGAATTTGAATTTCCATCCAAATAGAGCTTGACACAAAATGCAAATAAAAAAATCAACCATCTAAATACAAAATGTATCATTCACCATTTTCTAATATAATAAAAATGTAAAAGCTTAACTTACATTTTTTTCAGATTATGTAATTTCTTCAATAAATGTGCATTGATGTAGAGTATCCTCCTGGTTGGCAAAAAAAGGAGGCTATCTTTTAGTGGTAAATCATCAAGTTTTGATGGTTACCAACCAATGAGAATCAACCTTTATTTAGGAAAATAACTTTTCTTTAGGAAAAGTACAAATACAAAACCCAATTAAAATGATTATTTAAATTAACTTTTTCTACTTGCTGATATAAATCATGATTTAAAATGGTGACTTAAATTGCTTTGATTTAAATCTATCCACCCTGCTTCAGACTTTTCTCACCCCAAAAAGAATTCTCACCAATGTTTGCCTTTTCAACCCTTATCCCTGAAATGAGGAGGGGAATGGCATAGTAAATTATCCTGTTGTTCATTAGCTAGGAGAGAAAATTCCTACTGTATTTTCCACTGCGTGCGTCCGATGAAGTGGGTTTTAGTCCCCGAAAGCTTATGCTCAAATAAATTTGTTAGTCTCTAAGGTGCCACAAGTCCTGCTCGTTCTTTTTGCTGATACAGACTAACACGGCTACTACTCTGTAACTAGGAGAGAGTGAGAGAAACAACAGAATATGTGCAGTAATGTGATTGATTGTTTCATGAGTAACAAAAGGATTGGTGATGAAAAATAAAGAAAATAAGGTATTCAAGAGTGACATAAGCCACTTCACTGAGCTACCACATGTTTATTGGTATATCTAGATCATACTTGTTGTTATGGTACTATCTGATAGCCTGCAATGGCCTGTTGGTTTTGATTGAGATTAGCCTCTATATACTACAGCTCTGGGACAAGAAGAGCAAAAATTGAAAAGACAATGAAATAAATCAAAGTGGGCAAAGAAATAAAAGTAGACTGAAATCAAGTTGGCAGTCCAGTTTTTGTCTTATTTACTTTGCCAGATAACTTTCTTTGGGTGCAAGGGAAGTGGATAGAATTAAACAGTCACCCTCCCAAATAAATTTATACTCCCATCCCTAAATCCCTCCTTTGCCACTACACTTGCATGCTGCGTCTTAATCTTGTGGTAGGCAACTTTGTCACACTGCATTTCATTACCAGTACCAGTCTTAGGATCTGAGTTTGACAGAATTTAATAGCCTGATAACAGACAATTGCAGTTATATGCTTCTTCAAGTACCTCCTTGATAAGAAGCAGTACATCGACTAACAGAGGGAGACTATTTTTACTCTAGCATTATAAGCAAGCATAATATTGTAGTTCTTGATGATGATCATGATGATAATACTTAACTCTAAAAAGAGAAGTGTTCTGCTAAAAATGTGTCTCTCTTTTGTTGTTCTGACATGAAACAAATTATATTATTTTACTTGAACAAAAATAGAGAAAATGTTTTCTCTAAAAATAAGAATGGATAAATATTTTAAAATAATTAAATCTATAAACTGCCACAAATGCCAGCATTGCAACACTATGGAGGGAATGTCTCCAGTTCTTTGACATGTTTATTCTGTATCTCCTAGTACTAATATGAAACTGGAATGATTTTGTATATACTACATTGGAAAGATTTTCAGGGCTACTTGTAAGCATTAAAAGGGATCTGTGCATTCTTCTACTAAGTAAAAAAGTCATATTTGACCTCAAACACAAAGTTGTGTTTTGTATTTTTTTTATTTATGAATGAATTGTTACTGAGCAATCAAGGTCCATGAATGTTGGGTTCTGAGAATTGAGTCATGCAAAATTCCTGTTTACTGGAGTTTGGGAAGAATTTGAGAAACATAGATTTGTGCAAATGCACATGGGCTATGAAGTTCCCTGAATTTTCACTGAAAGAGTTCCTTGCATTGTTCCATGTGGAAATTGCTTTTGAATACAGTATTTTCATAAAACTTGAAATATTGTATTAACACATGTAAACATAAACTACATTAATAGTCTGGAAAAGACACAAAGCTAAAATCATATAGTTTGGCACCTGGCTATGCATAACCATTACTCTAGTTTCTTAGTTGACTGGCCTTGCTTTTGTGGGTTTGTTAAAACAATAATGTTAGATTATATATTAATTTTTTCCAGTACCTCGAGAAAAATGACTTATATTGGTATGAAATTATTCCATTCAGCTAGACTCGACTAGTGATATCTGTGAAAAGCCTGAGAAATCTCTATACAATGAAAGAGAGACTGGCCTACGGTTAACTATAGCAAAGTTAGTGAGCAGTGGTAAAATGAATATAATGGATAGAATATCAGCACAGATGTGTCTGGATTAGACGTGTCTAAATAATGTATGAATAGAAGGCATGGATGGGGTGGAGGCGGGAAATAAGGTATTTTTTTTTCCTTTTTGTTACTACTTTAACTCTTGATTTGCTCAGAAACTATAGTGATGAGGACCATATAAGTATCTAGATAACTCTCACTAAACATTCGATGAATGACTTTAACCACATAAAAAAATCTTAAATACAAAATATACTGACCATAGTTTGACAGATACGGTAGCTACTGTCTGACACACAGGATTAAAAAAAGAGAGATGCTTTCAGACAGAAACCGCAAAGGCAATTCACTCATAAAGAAAACTCAGCTGGTTTAGAGAATTAAAAAACATCTGTCCATTATAAACATGCAGGGTCTGATTTTTTTCACTTATAACTCCCATTGAAGTAATTGTTTGTTTTTTTATCTGAATGTTGCTGTGTTGTGTGTTCTTGAAGTCTGTTGGAGCTACAGGTTCTCGGCATCTCTGAGCATCGGGCCTACGTATACAGTGGAGAGGCACAATTTATTGGGTTTTTTTGTTTGTTTCAGCATATACATACTATCTTGTAAACAAATCTTCATGGTCCCATCAAAGTCAATGGGAGTTTTGCCATTGGTTTCAATAGGGCCAGAATTTCACCTTTTCAACGGCTCCTTGCTTTCCTAAATGTGCTGACTTCAGTTTCACCCAGAGACATTATGGGATGGTGCGTCTCTCTCTTAAAACAGAGTGGAAATCCTTCTTCATTAGGCAAACCATATGATAAATACTCCAAAAAAGTTCCAAAGAAGCAGGATTACTGATGAGCCTGAGATGCAAAATTAAAATCCAGATATCAAACTCCTCAGAGCCTGGAATGCTTATGATTCAGAAGATGGCTAAGTTGCCTCTGTGCTCTCTTAAAACCTGATTGGCTTATTTTGTCTTCTCGCTGTATGAGAGCCTTCTAACTCTCTAGGTATATGCAACAGTTTACAAAGGCAATCCTGACAC